AATAAGGAAGAGGGTTGCAGCCGAAAGTTTTGCAGCAAATTTCATTTTTTTGTTGAATGTTTTGGATTGTTCGAAAAGTTGATTTGCTTGTTGCTGGAAGTGTTTAATATTTGAGCCATAATTGGTTTGCATACTATTACATTAGACGTCATGAAGTTATGTCACAAGCTTTGCTAGATTGCAGATGGTCTAATAGCAAGTTGGCCAGTCCTTTGGCATGAAAGTTTCTTAAGAACTTGCGCAATTTCCTTCCAAATCCTGCTTGTTTGGATGTGGTGTATGCGTGTGTTATTCCTTAATTTAAGTTTTGAAGTCTAAATGAAAAGTTTTGATCAAAGTTTGTCTGGAATCCTCATTTGAAATGAGAGTGCAGCAGCGGTGTGTTTGTTTGTGATTGCAGAAGCATAAGCCTTGTAACTTTGCGCACACTTGCATAAAACTTTTGAAAATTGCACTTTGGCCCCCAAGTCCCCCTTGTTCTGATATGACCCGAAAAATTGGGAAAAGTGCGTTTGTTTCTCCTTTTTAGATTTTAATCACCTTTTAATATGCATGAGTAGTTTTCTAACTGGATTAATTCTTATTTTTTAGGACATATTTGTGGCTTAATAATTTTTGTTGCTTTTATCATGTTGGGTATTGGGGAAACAAAGGATTTGGGTTAAGAAGTTGTTTTTGCTTGGGTTTAAGGGAGCGGGTTTAGATCATCATTTGTGGGTTTTGGTTTGGGCTAGAGGGTCAAGGCCCATCGGTCTGGTTGGCTATTTTTGGGCCAAAATAATATGCTAGCCCACTTGTTTTTTCCTTGGACTTTTGATTGGGCCAAGTGATTTTAGCAAAAACATATAATAACATGGCCCATTCCCTTGTGTTTTGGGTTTCAGTTGGGCTAGGGAAGTTTGAGCCCAAACAAATAAAGTAAAGGGCCCAATGGCCTGTTAAGTCAAGAAGCCTGATGACGAAATTTCATTCCAGTCCCCTAGCTTTCGGATATTTTCACTATGGCCCTACAAACTTTCAATTTCATTCAATTGGGTCCTTATTTTAATTGCAAATGAGTTCTTGAACTTTATTTTTCTTTAATCTTGGCCCCAAAATTTTGTCAATCTTTGCAATCAAGTCCTTTCTTCTCTTAACTTCTTAAACGTGGGTTGTTGACACGATTCAATTGATTCAAATTCATGTTTATTTTTTATCCTTTGTGATTATTTGCCAAATAAATTGGTACCTTGACCCTTTTATTATTTTGGAGGGTACATTAGTAACTTCACTACGTTAGAGCTTCAACTCAAGAGAGGTATAACTTCTTTTATCTTTCTTGTCTCTCCTATGTGAACTAATGTGCTACGTGAGAAATACATGTCTACTTTGCTTTCCTAGTTTTTCTTTAATTTCTTTTATTTATGTCATTTACTTTTGTTTTTTATTTAAGTTATTCTTTATGGGGTATGTGTACACCTCTTGGCTTGTAATAGTTAGCGATTTAATTATTTTATTCCTTTTCCCCCTTTTAGATTGTAGTAGGGTCTCCCTAATGTAATAGATAGGGTTTGGATGAGCGTTCAATGAAGACCTATCGAAGTCATGTGCCTAGCTAGCAAATGTAATAGTTAGGGTTTTAATTGTCTTATGTGTCTTGCATGCTTAGTTACTACGTGTTAATTTGCTTTGTTAGGGCCTTGCATCTAGTCGAGCATGCTAAATGTTATGTGCTATGTGTTTATAAGTGTTTGGCATGTCTACTCGCTTTCCATAGCCTGAATGAATGTGATGGATGAATGTACGTTTCCACTAGTCCAACGCTAGTCGGAATTCATAGAATGGGCTAGTCCAACGCTAGACCCTTAGGGATTTCCCCTCGTTAGTACATGTTTGCATGTTCATTACATGTCATGCATTCTTTTTAGTTTTATCATTTTGCATGCCCCTCGAACTCCTTTTCCTTCCATTTTAGGATTTTTGCATTTCATGCTAGTTATAGGGTTCATTTGCTTGAGAGTCCCCTTAAATATGGGATATAGTCGAGTGTGGCTTTTTCTAAGCCTTAGCACGGTTGTATTCCCTCTATAAAATGGCAAATTGAGTCACGATTTAGGTCTTCCCGTACCCAATATGCATGAATTCCATAGGCTCATGCATTTTTAACTCCACTCTACCATTTTATACCCTCATCACACTTTCATTTTCCTCTCATTTTGCACACGTGCACCTTTATATTTCTTCACTTGCACACGAACACTTCTATCATCACTTGTACACATGCACTTCATATTATCATTTCACATACCGTACCTTGCCCACTCACGTGCACATTTTCATATTTATTGTCTTTTATTACTTTTTCAAACTCAGGTCCTCACATTACATACATGCATTCCATTCATTTGCATCCCACTCGCATTATTCGTGACTTCTTCAAAGGCTCGTTATTGGGCTTCACAATTAATGTGATTGGCACCACTCAACCTTTGAAGAGAAATTTCCCCAATACCCCTAGGTCTAGGGTTTGCATTTATGTAATACATCCAAATGTAATAAATTCTTTGGTTAAAACAAGAAAATCTTTGATTAAATCAACGCAACTAGCCTTGGCTAGGTCGAAGGGGTGCCTTGGATTTTTATCCTTGCCTTCCCCTTCGTCAAATGTGACTCCCGAACCTTTTTCGTTGGTTTATGTGGACTAGGAGTCGTTTAAAAGGGGTTTCTTACTATTTTTTCCTATTTTTTCTAAAAATTCATTTTTTTTAGGTGACTTGGTACACCTTAACTCATTACCAAGTGGAAAAGAAAACGTGTATGACAGATCTCGGAAAAGAAAACTAAAGCTAAGGTATTGATGCCTCTGAATCTCCATTTTTATTCTTTATATAGCCGCCGTCAGGAGCTTCTCAAACGTGACCCAATTGATTGAAAACAAAAGCAAAGCTAGCCTTTTGGAGTTTTTATCCCATGCTTCTCGCGGTTCACGTGGACCGGAGTTCGGCTTTCGGTAATGTCTACCTTTTAAGGCGTGGCCACGCCCTGAAATGAGAAGTCTTCTGGAAATTCACCTCAAGATATCATTTTTAATGCTAACCACCTACAATTCACACAAATATCAAATATGAGTGAAAGTCTATTTCTTAGCACCATGAATAGCCAAAATTAGAACAAGATGACAATGCAAAATGTGCCAAATAACTGCTCTATCAAATCCCCCCACACTTAGACAATGCTTGCCCTCAAGCATTTCGGAGCTCAGAAGTGCAACCGAAAGAGCAAAGGTCATGCAATAAGCTATACTAACACAAGCACCTTTGATCCCTGACAGTGTCGCCAAAATGAAAACACAATGGACAGGTTGTAATTCAAAGAAAATATATGAATACTAGGAACGCTCAAATCAACATCACAGAATGGCATTACCATAGGCTTGCACATTTATCATATCTCCACCACTCAAAAGTGAACTAAATACACAAATCAAATGGACTTTCATAAGGTTGTAATGGGTTTAGGTAAAATGCGGGATAAGAAGGTAAAAATAGGGTGTAGTGTGTCAAGAGAATGTCCGATATCCACCACATAACCACAACGCTTCATCAGAGAAATTTCACGAGCAAGGCATTTTCATTTGCCATTTCCACTGTGCAAGTGTCGAAACTTTTCCCCTTTTCTCTCCTTTTTTTTTTTTTTGAACAAGCGGCTCGCAAGGCATGGGCATGCCTTGTAGGCTGGGGTCTTCTGCTCACGATTTTTTTTTTAATGGAGCAGATGTCTTGCAAGGCGTGGGCACGCCTTGCAAGCTGGAGTCTTCTGCCCACCAGCTCACTGCCGACTTCTTCCTTTTTTGTTTTTTCTTTTTTAATCTCAGATGCACAGAGCACCATACAACTTCTATTCCAACAACACTTGCCACCTTAGATTCATTTGGCTTGCACAAATAATGAAATTCAGACATCTCTTGACGACACAAGGTTAAACAAAAAAGTCTAAAAAGGTCATGAGTTATCAAACACGACTAATCAAACAATAGCGAAGGATAAAAGCTCAAATAGATTCACTACAGGGAGACAAGATGAAGGCATGGTTTGTAGAAAGTTAAAGAAGGTTAAATCCTAAATGCCCTTATCATTTCAAATGCATCCAGTTCAAGAAAATGTGGTCTCGACATGTATAAAATAGCAAGTTCTAGAATGCCGCTACCATGTGTGATACCCACTCAATCAAACAAAAATAGAGCAAACAAGAATAATGTGCTCATGCATGGCTCAAAAGCTCCCAAAAGTCACAAAAGTGGATCAAGTCCAGTATATCCAACATTCAACAATACTGTCAAGGCAAAACGAAATGCATAGCTAGTATATCTAACCACATACCCATGCACCTTGATTGAGTTATTCATCATAGCAAAGAACTCAACTAACTACACTTTTTTCCTTTCTTTTTTTTTCTTCATTTTCCTCCTCTTTTTTTTCATTTTTTTTTGTGTTTCTCTTTTTTTTTTGTTTTAAAAGCAAAGCAAAAGGAGATAATAATGGAAGTCATCCCCCCATACGTAATACCTACATTGTCCTCAATGTAGAAAAGATGAATGAAGTATAAGGAGAAAAGGAGAGAAACTTCCCTGACCACCGAGAGGGTGCAGTGAGACACTAAGGCGGAGAAAGGTGAGGTGGCTGGAATCCAATGTGAGCAAAGAAAACTGTCTGATGAGAGAGATAGTGACGGTGGGGAAGGCAGCGACGTGGGATGGATGGCGCGAGGAGGAGAGAGAGAGTTTCTAGCGGCGGTGGACAAATGGGAAACCTTGGACTAAGATAAAACAAAGAAAATTGAAAAGTAGAAGCTGAGACAGTGGAAATTGATAAGACCATACAAGACAAGAAAGGAGAAAAATAGAAAGTGGGATTAGAGAGAATTCTGGTCAATCTTTGACTGTCGTTGGCGCAAAGATTGGAAGGCGTGGCCACGCCTTGGAAGCTATAGTCTTCTGATCGTCAATTCTAAAGTTTCATTCCTTAGGCATGATCAACTAGAGTGGGCATGTCTAACTGCCAGCTTCCTGCCACAAAATAATAACCCACTAAATGACACTAACACTTAACAAAAATTTCAAAAATATAAGAAAATTAAAACAAAAGAAGCCTTGGGTTGCCTCCCAAGCAGCGCCTTTTTTTAATGTTTTTGGCTAGACATAGCACCACTCTTTAGTCTGGATGTAATTGAATTTTCCTTGTAATTGGTGGCCCTCCTCCGGGATCCACATGGCCATTGAGTGCAACTTTTTTTCTAAATTTTCTCTCCATTTTTAACTCATGAATTGCTTTCATCCTATAGGAATTGTTCGCAACAACCTTGAATTTACCCCTACAAGCAAACTTAGAGAATTCTTGCACAGAGAGATCAGTGGTATATATAGCAAACACAGAATGAGAGTTAACAGGATGTTTCATTGTATCAAAAATATTCAAATGGACTATTTCTTCATCAAATTTCATCGTGAGAGTACCCTTACTAACATCAATTTTAGTCTGGGCACTACTCAAAAATGGTTTTCCTAATATAATGGGTGATGGATTTGGGGCACTTCTATCATCCATGTAAAGCACATAAAAATCAGCAGGAAAAATTAATCCATCTACTTGCACTAAAACATCCTCAACTATCCCATCCGGATAAGCACATGTACGATCAGCCAATTGAATTATTATCCCCGTTTCTTTTAAAGGTCCTAAATTTAGGGAATCATAGATTGACTTAGGCATCACATTAATAGAAGCCCCTAAATCTATCATGACATTTTTGATACTAGAATGACCAATCTTACAGGGGATAGCAAACATACCTGGATCTCTGCATTTGGGTGGGAGTTTCCTTTGAAATACAGCTGATACATTCTCTCCTACCATCACTCTTTCATCACCCCTTAACTTTCTTTTGTTAACGCTCAAGTCTTTCAAGAACTCTGCGTACTTGGGTACCTGTTTGATCGCGTCCAATAGGGGGATGTTTACTTGAATTTTGCGAAAGACATCCAGGATTTCTTTTTCCTTTTCTGCCCTCTTTGTCTTTTCCAACCTGCAAGGAAAAGGAGATAGATTAGATTTAATAGGGATCGAAGGAATATATGTTACCTTAGACTCTTCGCGAATGCGCCCTTCCTCTTCAATTCCCTTTTCTATCTGCTCCTCACTTTTGCTTTTCGAAATCGTCAACTTAGATCCCTCCACCTCCTTGTCACTCCTTAATGTCATGGCACTTACATTTCTGAGGTTTACCTCAGGTTGCGATGGCAATTTCCCATAGACGTGGGACTCCAGGCGATTAATGGCAGTTGCCATTTGACTCATGCGAGTCTTCATATCTTTCATGCCTGCTTTGGTGTCCTGTTGAAACTGAGTAGTGCTAGCTGTCAAGGACCTAGTCTCTTGCTGGAGTTGAGCAGTGGTCGTGACTAGGGTTCTAGTCTCCTGCTGGAGTTGAGTGGTAGTCGTGGCCAAACTCTTGACAATTTCCTCCAAAGAACTTCTTGAATTGGAGAACGAGGGTTGGGACTTCTGTTGCCAAGGTTGCTGAAATCTTGGTGGACGATTGGGGAATGCATTTTGTGGTCTATTACCATAGCTGAAATTGGGGTGATCTCTCCAACCAGGGTTGTACGTGTTGGAGTATGGGTCGTACGGTATTTGAAGCGCGAGCACGCCTCCAGCCATGTTCACTTGTTCAGCCCCATCCTCTTGCAATATAGGGCATGAGTCAGTGGGGTGACCCACATTTGTGCAGATTCCACAGGCCTTTGCTTGATGCATGTTTCCCATAGCTAATTGTCGTACAAAAGATGTCAGCTCCGATATCTGCTGCTGAATGGACGACGTCTCTACCTCGTTGACCCTACGAGTAGGGTTACTCTCACGAAAGCCAAACTGTTGAGAATTTTCTGCCATTGACTCAATGAGTAGCCATGCTTCCCTTGGTGTTTTGTTTGCTAATGCTCCCCCACTTGCTGCATCAATGATACTCCTGTCGGACGTCTGTAGTCCCTCATAGAAGTATTGGATCAATAGTTGTTCACTAATTTGATGTTGTGGGCATCTAGTGCACAACTTATTGAACCTTTCCCAATAATCATATAGGGACTCCCCGGGATACTGCTTAATGCTACATATTTCTATTCTTAGACTTGCAGCTCGGGATGCAGGGAAGAATTTTTCCAAAAATTTCTTCTTAACTTGGGCCCATGTTGTAATACTACCTGCGGGTAGGTAGTATAACCAATCTTTCGCTGCATCCTTGAGGGAAAAAGGGAAGGCTCTCAGTCTAATTTGCTCTTCAGTGACCCCAGGAGATTTCATACTAGAGCAAATCACCTCGAATTCCTTGACGTGTTTGTGGGGTTCTTCGCCAGAGAGACCATGGAAAGAAGGTAAGAGATGAATCAGCCCCGACTTCAGTTCGAAAGTAGTATTCTCAGCCAAAGTGGGGAATGTGATGCATAAGGGCTGGTGAGTCAGCTCCGGAGTAGCCAGCTCCCTTAATGTTTGAGTGTTGGCCATGCTTATTTCGTCTTCTATCGACTCGTTTGCAATAAATAAGGGCCCTTCTTTTCACCTCTTGGTCTCTTGCCTCCGCCTGCGCGCTGCCTTCTCAACTTCAGGATCGTATACTAATTCACCCGTGCGAGAAGAACGGGGCATAAACTAGCAAAAATACCAAGAAGAATAGAATAAAATAAAAATAAAATAAAACTGAATTTGAAAAGAAACAAATAATTCAAACGCCAGCTCCCCGGCAACGGCGCAAAAAATTGACAGGTGCCGAACCTGTGCAATAATAATTACTAAAAAGTCCTAATTACCACCACAAATAATTATAGAACAAATTCAAGTACTGGAGCAGGGACCCTAGGTGTGCAATGGGTTACTTGATTCACCCTGTTCCCGAAGATTTTGCTTGATCCGATATACCAAATTAGTCTATAAGAATATTACTTTTGTGTACAATGGCAAGTAGGGTCGATTTCACAGGGAGCGGGTAGGAAATTATTTCTTTCCAAATTAGTAGAATGGAATTGGGGGATTTTCAATAGGAGACAAACAAATAAAATAAAAATAAGAATAAAAATAAAGCAAACTAAATTCAAAACCAACTCACAAAGTACAATTCACTAAAAATAGCAATTAATAAGATTCCACCCAAAGGATCAACTACTCAGGCATGGTCCAATTAAATGATCATCGATGCAAAGATATTTCACCCATTCATCACTAGGTTGGTTATAGTTATCAATAAGCTCTGACAACCAATTCTTTCTTACCTTTTCGACAGTCAAGGTACGACCATTGACTGCTTTCCTAACCAGATAACAACCCTAGGTACGACCGTAGGAATTTAATTACCTAATTGCATTAAAACTAGAAGAACCCAACCCTAACCAATAAACAAGCTAAGAGGGTTTATTTAAGCTAGATCTTGCGTTTCTCCATCATAAAACCAATTATGGTGGTTGCCACGAGGTGTTAACTAAATGAACAATTACGGATTCTATTTAATTAACGTGGTAGTAGACTATTAAATTAAATCAAATACCCGGCCGTTGATATTCAATTAATAAAATACCCATGAACAATTAATTCAGGAAACACACGAATAACAATAAATTGGAAGAAATAATGAAGATTCGATTAAATTTCACAAATATTATGGACCGCGCCCTCGCATCAACCTTTGGGTAGAGGAGAAAATTAGCCGCTCCTCATCGTGTCAATCTCGCGTGATTTAATTGAAGTCATTCAATTATTCGCCGAAGAATTGGGGAATGGGAATTAATTGCAGTAACAACAGAGAAGGCCCTGCCTTCGTCTTCGTTTTGGAGCCACCAGTGTACGAAGCAAAAGGCTAACCGAAATTGTCCAGAGCAAGTGTAAAAATCAAAAGGAAAATAGCCGTCTGGCCTATTCTAATTGCTACCGATGAGAAAAAAAGATAAAGGGAAAAAGCGTCTGACAGATCTCGGAAAAGAAAACTAAAGCTAAGGTATTGATGCCTCTGAATCTCCCTTTTTATTCTTTATATAGCCGCCGTCAGGAGCTTCTCAAACGTGACCCAATTGATTGAAAACAAAAGCAAAGCTAGCATTTTGGAGTTTTTATCCCATGCTTCTCGCGGTTCACGTGGACCGGAGTCCGGCTTTCGATAATGTCTACCTTTTAAGGTGTGGCCACGTCCTGAAATGAGAAGTCTTCTGGAAATTCACCTCAAGATATCATTTTTAATGCTAACCGCTTACAATTCATACAAATATCAAATATGAGTGAAATTCCCTTTCTTAGCACCATGAATAGCCAAAATTAGAACAAGATGACAATGCAAAATGTGCCAAATAACTGCTCTATCAGAAACCTCCCCTGAGATTTCTGACACTTTCACTGGCACCTCCTGAGGTTCTCAAAATTTCACTGACCTCCCTTGCTTTTGAGTTTTTGGTAACAATGCAGTCCAAATCTGATTACAATATTATTTTCATGTGTGAGAAGGAATTTTTATTCCATGGCTGCCCCTTTGCTCCTTGTATTAGTAGAAGTTGAAAGAATAATAAATTATTAGAATGATTACTAAAGTTGAGGGGGTGTAAGTACAACACAAAAAATTGTAAGCACTAGATGTGCCAGGGAAAATGCCGGTTTTCATAAATCTTAAGTTAACTAGTATGTTATCTATTTAACATAACTTAAGTAACTAATTAAACTAATTAAATTACCTGCGAGTATTACTTTCACATAATTAATTTATGTTAAATACAAAACCTACCAGTTTCCCTTTCGTAAAAATATGAGTGTAATACTTTTTGAATTTTACTTACAACTATTTGTATATTTAATATAAATTAAATTATTCAGAGTAAAATGCCTATAAATAGCTAGTACTTTATTCATATAATAGAAGAAACTCGTAAAGAGCTAGTAAAAAGTGGGTAATTTATTTTTTTACTCTCACGTATTTAATTTATGTTAAATACAAAATCTAGTAGTTTCTCTTTCGTAATAATATTAGTGTAACAATTTTTTGAATTTCACTTATAAATATTTATGTATTTAATATAAATTAAATGATGCAAATTAAATTACTCATAAATAGCTAGTACTTTATCCATACAATGGAAGAAACTCGTAAAGAACTTGTATGTTATGGAATTTTTTTTTTACTTTCAAATACTTCATTTATATAAATACAAAACATGCTACTTTTCCTTTCGTAAAAATACTTGTGTAACGGCTTTTGAATTTTATTTGCAAATATTTATGAACTTAACATAAATTAAATAATTCAAAATAAAATGCCCATAAAACCTGGTACTTGGTTCATGTAATAGAGAAAACCATAAAGAGTTGGTACTTTATGAGATATTTCTTTTTTAAAAAATATTTAATTTATATTAAATAAATAACCTACTAGTTTTTTTACGTAATAAGTTACTATAATATTTTTTGAATTTTACTTAAAAACATTTATATATTCACAGCAGGCACAAAAATGGCACCTTACTCCCTAGTCCAGCTTTAATTCATGTATTAGCCATCAAGTTTGTGTTATTGTAGTTAAGCTTGATTAATCACTTTAGATGCCTTTTTCTCCAATTAAACGGGAATAATACACTCCATCTTCAGTAATAAAACCCAACTTCATAGGATATATTTGTAATTTTGGCCTTCATGATGTCAGCAAAGGGGTCCAATTTTCTATCAAGGGAGGTCAGTGAAATTTTGAGAACCTTACGGGGTGCCAGTCAAAGTGTCAGAAACCTCAGGGGAGGTTTCTGAAATTATCCCATAAAAAAAAGAAGCAACTCAGGAGAATGTACAATAGACTATAGTTGACCCTGAACGTAGCTACCGAGAAGGGAATCTGTTGTGGACAAGGAAACCCGTCAGATCATCTTAGCCTAATCCTCACAACCGTCAGATCAGGAAACGCGGGGCCCACTTTTTGTTTGTTTTTGCAGGTAAACTGCAAAACGGCCAACGCGGCAAAGTCCGCGAAGCAGACGCCAAGTCGACTCTGACGTCTGAAACCCCAGTCCTAAATGCCAAATCCTAATCACATTAAACAAAAACACTAAGCTTCCATTTCCAATTTCATTAGCTTTCAACAATTGAGAAGCTTGAATCTTCTGAGAAATGAATAGGGAGGCTGAGGAGCGGGGTGGTGGTGGTGGCGGTGGTGCCGAGACGTCGACGGTGGCTGTGGCAGTGGCAGTGGCAGTAAAGAGCTCAAGAGGGAAAGGAAGCCGGCGTGCAGTCCGGTGGGCGGTTGAGAAGATGATATGGAAAGCCGAACCTACTGTGCTAGTCCATGTCATCCCTCCTGTTACTTCAATCCCTACTCCTTGTATGATGTCAAAACTAAAATTTCTTACTATTAGGAGTATGTCTCCGTTGTTATGAATTGTGATGTGGTATCGTTGTTTTTGTTGTACTCCAACTACAGCAGGACAGAGGATACCAATTGAAGAGGTGGACGCAAAGATACTGAGACTATATGTAGATGATATGAAAGAAAGGTCTAAGCAAATGCTTATACCTTTCAAGAAACTGTGTAAAAGAAGAAGGGTGGGTGAGATAAAAGTTTCGTTTCCACCAAACCATGTTGTTTCTTCCGTTACAAAGATTGGTGAATTTTACCAGTAATTGAGGTTTAATGATCTCTCTCTCTCTCTCTCTCTCTGGCTGTAGGTGGAAATTGTAGTGCTTGAGGGGGATAGTCCTGCGTCTGCACTTGTAAGATACGTAGCAGATGTGGGGATTTCAGCTTTGGTAGTGGGTTCCTGCTCTCCCAAATACGGTTGCTTTAGAAGGTAACCTTGCCTTTGATCACATGATGATGTTGTTGCTGGTTTTATGCTATCACCTCAAATATTTTGTCTCTGTTCTTAGCCTCTTTTGTCTCTGAATTTTATGGTGATAATCAAAAGTCTCTTTTGGCTTGAGTAGATTCGACAAGTCCTTCCCTTTTCCTTTGGGATTCCTTCCCTTTGTATTGATTTTGACTTCTTTGCTTGCTTTAATAATTGTTTTAGATATCCCTCATCACTTAACTAAACCTCCATTCGCCTCAATGATTAATTGGTGCAGGAAGCCAAAGAGCTCTGTAGTGCCATCGGTTCTCGTAAGAAATGCTCCTGAAAGTTGTGATGTCTTTGTGGTGTCCAGACGTGGGGTTATCAAAAATAAACCAAAAACCTTGTTGGCTACTGGTATTACCGAAATACATTCAATATCTCAGATGTTTCGTTTCGGCTGTTTCCATGTCAGTCATTGCTTCTTTGTTTGCCCCTTCTCAGAGGATAGCGCAAAGGAGTTTTTGGTCAGTAAAAGCGAACACCATTCTCTGACAGTAAGTAAACAATTGCCTTGGAACAGTTCTTCGTCAACAGACTCAAGAACCAACAAAAACTCACAACTATCATCAACCTCTGGCTTTGGTGGTCCAGACTCTCATATTCAGGCCTATCCAGTATACTCTACCACTTTTCTGCAGCAGATTCATCTTGCGGACAAAACCTTAGATTTTGAAACAGTTCAGAGTCGCTCCTCTCGACCTTCTACATCCTCGGAGCAGGTAAAAGAGTAGTATAAGCCTATTTTTGCTGGATGCTCGTCCAAGCACATTGATGAAGGTTCATTACCCTGGTGGTTCTCTTTTGAGACAATTTGGATGAAACATGTAAACAGTCCCCACTTGGTGCTAATTTTTGCTCTATGTTAATGCAGTCAAATGTCGATGCTGAAGTGGAGCGACTGCGACAAGAATTATACAGCACTCTTTCCATGTACAATCAAGCCTGTGAAGATCTGGTTTATGTCCAAAAGAAGGTAAGAATTTGATTGTCTTTCATTGACTTAAAATCCTAGGTTACTCAGTTCAGAATCCAGTTGGAAAATATTAAAGGACCTTAGAATATCTCAAAAGTCCTCCAATCCTTCTGATTTGTGAAAAGTTTTCATGGTTTAATTATTAATGTGCAGGACACACAGACATCAGTTAGATTCTTTTTTTTTTTTAAGATATGAGCAAGTAGAACTGATTGGCACTCACAGAACATTAACCATCTATTCCTTTCTCACAGGTCAACTTGCTTTCTGCTGAATGCCTTGAAGAAGAAAGAAGAGTGGATGCTGCAAGACAAAGAGAGGAGATTTTACGCAAAGTTGCTGCAAGAGAGAGAGAGAAGCATTTGGAGGCCATGAAGGAGATTGAAATGGCAAAGGATCAGTGTGTCAAGGAAGCTAATGAAAGACAAGTAGCAGAAACTAATGCCCTCAACGAGTTTTCTCAGAAGCAGAAAATTGTGGAAGCACTATTTTCAGAAGACAAAAGGTACAGAAGGTACACTAGAGACGAAATTGAGGAGGCAACAGGTTTCTTCTGTGAGGCAAAGGTTATAGGTTCTGGAGCATATGGAAAAGTTTACAAATGCAGCATTGATCATACTCCCGTGGCCATTAAAGTCCTTCAGTCTGATGCATCAGACAAAAAGGAAGAATTTCTGAGAGAGGTTGCTTACTTCTCTTCTTACATAATTTCCCATCTTTCAAGTCTGAGCTACTAGATATTTTTGAATAAGCACATATCTGCTAGATGTTTTGTTCACACTGGAAGCCGTTAACAGAAACACTAAACATCCATTTATTGTAGGAGTTACTATTTAAGAATGATTTGTTTAACGAAATATGGGCTTGTTCTCATTAGATTGTTTTAACTGATTATAGATTTTGATTTTGAATAATCAATTTTTGTGATGTTCTTGTTTGCTTTTGTGTTCAAGTTATAGAATTTTTAATAACCAAAAAATTTAAAATTTATAATCAACCAAATAGTGGCTTTCTTGATTCTGATTATTCTCTATAATCACTTTCCATAATCAGATCTTGCAAAATCTAAAGCACCTGAGAACAAGGCCTATGTGCAGCACTCACTTGTGAGCTGCGGCAGTACAACTGCATCTTAACTCTGTAATGTAATTGTATCATCGTTAGAACCTTTTCTGATATAACCTCTTCCTTCTATGTAGGTTGAAGTTCTTAGCCTACTACGTCACCCTCATATTGTTTTACTTCTTGGAGCCTGTCCAGAAATTGGTTGCCTGGTATATGAATATATGGAAAATGGCAGCCTGGAAGATTATATACTTCCTGGAAGCGGCCGAGGTCCGCTTCCCTGGTTTATTCGTTTCCGGATTGTTTATGAAGTGGCCTGTGGACTTGCATTTTTACACAATTCAGGACCAGAGCCTATTGTCCATCGGGATCTGAAACCAGGAAATATACTCTTAGATAGAAATTATGTGAGCAAAATTGGAGACGTGGGCTTGGCAAAAATAATATCGGAGGTGGTGCCTGATAATGTAACAGAATACCAAAATTCTATTCTTGCTGGTACCATTTGTTACATGGATCCAGAGTATCAAAGGACTGGCACGGTAAGACCAAAATCTGATCTGTATGCTTTAGGAATCATAGCTCTTCAGCTGTTGACCGCTTGCCGTCCTAATAGAGCAATACTGAAGGTTGAAAATGCCATAAAAACTAGATCATTGTCAGCCGCACTAGATAAATCAATTTCAGACTGGCCATTGGCTGAAGTCAAAGAACTCGCTCAGATGGCTCTAAAATGCTGTAAACTTAGGTGCAGAGACAGGCCAGATCTTGAAACAGAGTTGCTCCCTGTTTTGGAAAGACTCGCCAGATTTGCTGATGTAGCTAGGAAAGCTGGCAGTGGCAATTTTCCTGCACCAAGCCAGTATTACTGCCCAATTCTTCAGGTAATCATTCAAATCCATGGAATAGCCATCTGAATAGTAATTTGCAATTCTCAGGAGGGAAAGCGCACTTATTTGCATCTTGCTCTCAGGAAATAATGGATGATCCGCATATTGCAGCAGATGGTTTTACATATGAGCACATTGCGATTAAAACATGGCTTGACAGACATGATGTATCACCAGTAACGAAGGTTAGACTGCAGACGAAGATGCTTACCCCAAACCATATACTGCGTTCAGCCATTCAAGAGTGGAGGTCAAGCGTCTCATTCTGAGGAACTGAATATGAATGCAGATGCAATCAAATTTCATAGCTACATTTTTAACTGAACCAACGTCTGAGCGAGTTATGTTCATATAGATATCATATTTGTCTAGTAGATTTTGCCAACAGTTGCAACTGCAAATGTATATTCCTGATATCAGCACCATCATATTTAAATGAATGTGAGAAACAACGGTTATAGTAACATGGAATGTCTACATTCATGCAATAATCACTTAAGACTGTCAATTAAGCAGTGTCTACATTGCGATATTCTGAAAATATTTGTGTGGTTAATTAGTACTTTACCATCACTGTTTATGTACAAAGTAAGAAACCTCAAAATGGTATACTGTTGGACGCATCTTATTCAAACCATAGAAGTTGACATGAATCAGGCCTCCACTTGCGTGAATTCTAGTGCATTGGCATCTGGATCACGTGTAAATATGGCTGGCCTTCCAGAGCGACTAAGGGTGTATGCAATACCTGAAATTTGATTGATAAACATACAGCAGAATAAGAAATGCAGGCTTCCAGAAGAAGCATTTCTTTACATTGGAAAAAGTTTGATCATGTTAAGGTGATAAAAAATGAAGCTGAGAATGGGGCACAACTAAATACCAGCTTTATCCAGAATTGCTTTCAGCTTTGGCACATCCCGAATTGCTATGCAAGTATGCCGATCTCGACCCCCATGTTCGGGCCTGCCTGTTAGCGGGTCAGGATTTGGAAGCTCCATCAAATGTATCATCTCAGAACCAACCCACAACCAAGCACCCCTATATGGAAGCTTATCGTGTGGTCGTGCCTCATTTATTTTTAGGCCTGAACTTAATAAATATTAGAAATCCTTTGGCTTTGTCATGTGGAAAAAGGAAGACATTAGATTACCTTTAAGCAGTAAGAAACTTACCAAGTATATTCTGGTAAAAGTCCAGTGACCTTTCAAGGTTCTCACATAAGATCCCAACATGATGCATACTTACAACTCCAAAATCTGCATGTCAGCACATGCTATTCTAAGTTAAAAGTGGCAAGTGACAGGCCTAGAAAATACTCGATCAAAGATTAGACATGGTGTTAGAAATAAACAGTACATTACATGAATGCAGAGGTTTTTCTCCTATACACGGATCAAAACTATGGCGAAATAACAATCTCGCGTTCGAAGGAGTAACCACCATGGAAGACCAACACTTTGAATCAAGGACAAAAAAGTCCAAAGACTTCAAATATGATAATTGATCAAATTTAATCTCTTGCCCTGCTGACTCTATCTTTTAGAGTGTATTTTTAAACATTTCTGACATTGATTGCTAAGTTCTATTATTCGATTTTCAGTAAGTTAAAAATTGTCAGCCAAAGCAAATACATTTGTATCCATATCCTTGAGAGCATTCATTTTTAAACATTTCTGACATTGATTGCTAAGTTCTATCATTCAATTTTCGGTAAGTTAAAAATTGTCAGCAGAAGCAAATACATTTGCATCCATATCCAGTTGAAATTACTAAACTAATTTCAATTGGATTTTCAGCAAAATTTAATTAACTTATATCATAGTGGCTCATCTAACAATTCTATTCCACAACGAATAACATACAGAGGCACAAGAGAAAAGGAGTTTTACCACTCTTGTCATCAACACCTTCAACACTGACAGAATCTTTCTCAAGCATATCTGCTTGTGTAGATGATTTAGCGTTTACCACCAAATGAGGCCTATGATTTCCAGCAGTTCTTACAGTAGGCAGAAAGTTTCTGTTTGGTAGTGTAACTGTTGCAGCAGCAGCACCAATTCCGCAATTGACCTGACTCATAAAGGTCCAACTCATTGGGAGAAGTAAATTTAAAACTGAAGGAACTTTCAGCTACCATGGAGCCAAAAAAGAGAGGTTATAGGGAGAACAAATCATGTATTAGAGGATCCAGTACAACCAAAGGATACACAATCAACAAAAATAAATGGCAGCAATCTCCCCTTTACTTTGACGTGTACTAGACTAGTAAATTTTACATTGATAACAGAATAATGCGTTCTTGGCACCTTGTTTTGCAACCACAATTACTTCAGGGAAGAAGGGAAAAAACCCTCTAGACAACAGAGCCACTTAAGAAGCAATAATTCTTAAATCCATAGCTCCTAAATATCAGTAAAGCTGTAAAGATCAATGTCCTGCAAGAACGGTGCATGAGGATGCCCCTATACACTTGAAACTAAATGTAAAATTGAAGCATCAAGAGCAACTATCGAATCCTAAAAGCTTTCGTAGTATACTGATTTGAAGAAAGTTCATTTTTTTCAAGGTTTAAATCAACAAATGAACTTGGATTAAGTTGCAGAAGGGCCAGCAAGCAAAATATATTTAGGCCAGATAAACAAGAAAAAATGAACGAGTATTAACCATTCTTCAAATGTATACCCATGGATATGCATAACTACGCGGCTCAACTTTCCGGTCATGGTTTTCTTGTCTTTCTAATATCACCAATCTTGTTCAATTAATGACACGAAAGTAGAAAATTTAGAAAAAAAAAAAAAAGCAGATTGTGATCAATCATGTATTGTCAACTAATTTCAGCTCAACTTACTCAACAAGTATGGTAATTAACAAAAATTTTCCAATAGATTCCTGCAATTTATATATATATATATATATATATATATATATATATATGTTTAACCATCAGTTTCGGCAACAAATTGACAGGAAATTTTTTACTACCTTTTTTTGAGGCAAAGTTAGAGGTGGGTTCAGTAGAGAAGCCATTGAAGAGCAGAGGAGCTAATCAGACAGTACTCGAGCGTAGCAGCGCTTCAGTTTATACAGCCGTATTCTGCTTTGGGATTCTGTCTGCTTTTATCCTTTATTTTTGGGTTGAAACGATTAAGAACTTGTCGGCCACTGCTTGCGACTGAAGTTGCGGTTCAAGATTGCCAGCCAAGGAGACCCACATAACCCATTGTATTGCAAACGCTACACTTGTTCGAGGCAAATTTGCAGAATGGGAAGATTATGTGGTAATTTCGCGTAATTTGTTGGACGTTTTTACTTTTTTTATTTTAACCGACAAAACTTCATATGAATTCGATATACTTGAATGCTGGTCGAAACATGTTGCCGGGTTAGTAATAAATTTCAGAAAAACAGTTTTTCTATTTGTTTTTTGGCCTTTTTTGGGAGTACAAAAACTCACCTCCCCCTCCATGCCAAGATTCCCAAAATCAAGTTCATGATTCCATGCATTTTTGAGATTTACCAGATTGAATCGGATCGTAATATTCTATCAGAATATAAGCAACAAATAATGCAACTCCTGTGCTCAAAGACTTATATAGGTGGGGGGAGGGCGGCTAAAAAAATTTTCTAAAATCTTTATTTTGTACTATATATTTTAACGTACCACCTCAAAAATCTTTCATGTTTCTCTTTTTATCTCCTTTAGGGACGGCTGTAACAGCCCCACTTTCCCCTAAGGCGAACCAAAGGGGCTAGCGGACTGTCTGCCCAACTCTCGCCAGGACTACGGATCAGTTCACGTCGATCTAATACGCTCCGGAACATACCCACGCGTGTAAACAAGTCAAAATCACAAATAAAAAAAACGAAAAATCGAAGCCGATGATGAACAGTACCGGCCACGTCAGAATCCAGATACTAGGCCGAGAGTAGCCAAAATTTTTCCTTCTCCGTTTGAAATGCGTATCGCTCCGAAATCCAACCAAATATATATAAACATTAAAATTCAACATTTACAAGCCAAAACGGCATACCAAAATATCCAAAAGTTCATACATGTGCAACTAGCCACTTACAAGCCAACCATTGGTTGAAACCAAACACTTAGGGTTTTCACCCTCAAGGAGCTATTCAAAATATACATTTACATGAGCTCAACTTGCTAGTACAACCTTTCCAAAAGTGATCATTTTCCTGTAAGGAAAACAAATGGAACGGAGTGAGCTAAAGCTCAGTGAGTTACTACCACAATAGCAACTAAGATCACATAAGTATAACCTTTCAGTTCAAGTATACAAATAAGAAGTAAATCAAATCAGTGAAAGGATACGGACGGCTCTCAAGAGCCCATTTCCACGCTTACATTCTTGATCCAATTTCATTGACTCTCCGTCAACGTTTATGAGTACCAACCGTAGACCTCACTTCACCCATTCCTTCCACCAAACATACCCCAACCGGGCCCGCACTCCAATCAGTAACTTTTGGTAATACTCGAGTATACCGGAATCAAGAGTCTCATTACTACAAGATTCCCTAGTACAGTCCCCGTGGCATGACAATTTTCACGACCAAACCCTCGCCGGCTCGATCCAATTGACTACCAAACGGGGTTGAGCTCAGTGATACAGTAAAGCCGTTGGACATTCGTCCAAACGACACCAAATCATTTTTCCATGAATGGAATTCAGTATCTCATATAACAAGTGCAGTATTTCAGTAAAACAGTAAACAGTCATGAATGAAATCACAAGGGGGTGAGGGCGGTCAAGTACACCCTCACCTCAATCACTTCCAATAGCCAAATAAGCCTTCAAGGCATCAGTTTCACATATAACAAAGCCACATTGTAACATTTAAGTGAGTAGTATACTCACTAATCAATTAAGTGCTATTTCATGCACTTCCGTCAGGAGAATGTCGTGAACCACCGTCACGCCCTAGAACACGTAAAGCCGGCTCGATCCAATTGACTACCAAACAGGGTTGAGCTCAGTGATACAGTAAAGCCGTTGGACATTCGTCCAAACGACACCAAATCATTTTTCCATGAATGGAATTCAGTATCTCATATAACAAGTGCAGTATTTCAGTAAAACAGTAAGCAGTCATGAATAAAATCACAAGGGGGTGAGGGGGGTCAAGTACACCCTCACCTCAATCACTTCCAATAGCCAAATAAGCCTTCAAGGCATCAGTTTCACATATAACAAAGCCACATTGTAATATTTAAGTGAGTAGTATACTCACTAATCAATTAAGTGCTATTTCATGCACTTCCGTCAGGAGAATGTCGTGAACCACCGTCACGCCCTAGAACACGTAAGCAAGTACAATGAGACTCGATAACGAGTCATATAGCAATGCTGAACACAACCCCAATAGGGTTTCATATGCATAAATAAGCATGATAGCAAACCAGAAATTAGAGATAGCTTTAGTCTTAGCCCCGAATAGA